CTTGGTAACCATGAATGAATGCATATTTGTCATTTTAACTGAACTTAGGACTGGTGGTGGTGTTTAAGATATTGTTGGTCATAGGTAATAGTAATTATTATCAAAAGATACTACTACTACTACTACTACTATTATCTGCTGGGTTCATGAATATTAATCACATTGTCAGCGTTCGCTCGAACTGATTTGCTGAAACCGAAACAGGGACGGTAATAGATGAGCGCCAACCGATGAGAGCAGTTCGCGCATTAGCTCCGCCCACTGCCGAGAAACCGGCATATCTTCTGCTTGTTCTTAAAAGCTGAATAATTCTACTTGTTGTCAGCGTGTTTATCGAGTGAAAAACTGTGTTGAACGCCTCTCACACACATACTGGCGTGTAAAATCTAAGAATTTATAGCCAATGGCTAATGTTAGACATTATTTAGTCGCCCAGAGTAAGAGTTAGTCGCAATGTAGAGGGTTGCCAATTATTTTAATGCAGTATAAGCCAGGGGTCTGCATGACAACCTACAGCATTCACAACAGCATGTTTTGATTAGGGCCTTTCGCACCGCGGGAACCTTTTCATAGTACCAGAACTAATTGTGGAACTACCCACTTTTTGGCATTTCGCACCGCCGGAACTGGGTGCGATTTTAGTACCGGACTGCCTTTTTCGAGAACCAAATTAGCTCCTACTCCGGAGCAGGGTCTAACCAGCACAACTGGTACTAATCGTGACGCAAGTAGACATTGATTGGCCAAACGCGTATGAAAACGCCCTCACCCGCCATGATTTAAAACTCTGTGTAAACATACTGTAAACATTGTCAACTTATTTTGCAAGTATGGAGAACAGCGATAGATGGACGGACGCTGAAGTGCAGGCACTTGTAGCAAATGTAGCACTGCCAGTTGTTGGAGATTCTAGTCCTCCTTTCCGTTCTTTCAATCGCTTTGCGTATACGTCAACTTTCCATGTCCATTATTGTGAAACCCGTGAGACACAACAAAAACACAGCTCCGATCACAGCGTCCTCCATCCTCCTGTTGTTAATGTTGTTCTTCTTTGTTTCTGTTGTTGAACGCCGCGCACAAATGACGTCTCTGTCGACCGGCTTATGTCACTTCTTAGTACACACTCTCGGTGCGAATGCAACCCTTTGAATGGTACTGGGAAATAGTTCGCGCAAAATCGTCCCAGTAATTTAGTACCGTACATTTAGTTCTGGAACTAAAGCAGTGCGAAAGACCCTATTGTTGTCAAAAGTACCGGTACTTTGGTATCAAGTCGAAACTGAAATTTACAAATTTAACAAATTCAGCCTTTCTGCAGCAGCAGTAGTAACAAGTACCGGGTCAATGCGGTACCTGCTAATAGGTGACTGCTTTCAAATGATCACATGCATGTTTTGTGTGAGCACTCTGTAAAGAGCATCAAAGGTTTCCATTTACAGTGTTTTTAGAACATTGAGCATTATTGCTGATGTTGAGCACTTGAACGAAAGGACAATGATTTTGTCAGAATTGACTAAGTAGCGCATCTCAAGACTATGGAGCCAGCACTTTCAAATGTATAATTCATTGTCATTAAAGCTATAGGTAGATATATTTAGCTAAAGGTTAAAAATAGATTTAATATTTGCATTTAGCAATTGTATTAAATCTAATTATTCTACAATCTTATTTCCCTTGCAGGCTTAATGATTGTGGCTTAACAGACAGAAGCTGTTCAGCTCTGGCTACAGTTCTTGGATCAGATACTAATCTGAAAGAGCTGAACATGAGCAATAATAATCTGCGGGATTCAGGAGTGAAGCTGCTCTGCACTGGACTGAAGAATATAGCGTGTAATTTGGAGATACTGAGGTAAGTTGTGTGATAATAGACAAAAATTACATTGAGCTCAACAAAAACATAAGGAGAAATCCAGACTTGAATAATGAACAAGTCTGTATGTTGTGCATGGAGATATTTTATATTTATGCCTGTCATGGTGTTCTTCTTCTGATTTGGTCTGTCACTGACTGTGCCTAAGCCAATGTGTTGTGTTATACCGTTTACAGAATGAATTTGATTATGGTGTGGATAACTTACATTTGATGGTGATATCATGTATATCTGCCATTAGTAAGAGATCAGAAAGATGTGTATTTACCCGACAGACAGCATCCACTAAACTTCACAAATTTCACTGAAGGAGTGCGAAGTCAAGGGAGCACAATAATTCTGATTAAATATTGTATTTGGCTAAAGTATTTGTTATCAATTTAAGGTTAAAACTGCACATGTGATGCAAGTAATGTTAATGAGTGGGGTAACTATAAAGAGATTATAACGTGTATTTGGATATAAATCTGTATAGTTATAGATCAGAGATATTTTGTTAAGGTTCCAAGAAGTCCGTTCTCTATGCTCCCGTCCCAGCGGAGGTCAAGACAATACTTTTTTGGAATTGTTATTCATATTTCCATCTGGGCAGCAGTGGTACTTTGTAAAAAAACAAACAAACAAAAACAGTCAAAGTCACCAAAAATGAAGATTTTGGACCCCGAGAGTCAAAGCAGTGGTGTCTAAGAATAAAAAAATAATAATAATGAAAAGAAAATATTTCTTTCATCAATTCGGCTTAATTAGATATTTTATCAGGCTATTATTATTTTTACATTTTTACATTGCATTTACTGATAAGAGATACTGTATGGGGTTCAGAGTTTACTCTTGAAGTCTGGACCATTTTTATATTTTGCTTAAAATAAGTGTCTTCTAAAATAAACACACAACATACATAATGAAAATGCTCTCTTATTATGAGCAGAAAAGTTAACTAGTCAAGTCACCTTTATTTATATAACACTTTATACAATGCAGATAGTTTCAAAGCAGCTTTACAGTGATAAACAATTTAATGACAATTATCAAGAATTATTCTAAACAATTATTTTACTAATTTCAAAGTTTTAATTGTCTTTACCTTGCCATTTACAACGAATTTCCCCAGTTATAATTGTTTATAATTGTTTATGAAATGCTCTTTAACATAGTATATTTGGCCTAATTCTAAATGTAGATTTAAAAAATCTTAATACCTGATTTGTCATACAGTTATACACTGTGTTTTGGACCGATAAAACTAACTATATTTGCTGCATTCTTGTAATTTTGTTTTTATAGTTAGCCGTTATGTTTTTCCAGTGGTCACTAATACTCTCACCTCGCAATAGTAAGGCAGTCTCTGGCCTTAGTAACCCTGAAGACATTGAGCTTGTTCAGGTGTGTTTGATCAGGGCTGGATCTAAACTCTGCAGGACTGAAGCCCTGCTCTAAACCTGCCGCTCACATAAAACCTTCTGCAGTTTTACATTTTCAAAAGACTTTGAATTTGAACGTTCTGTAGGATTTATAAGCTTGTTTCCAAATAATGTCCTCACAAGGTCAGAATTTACTGGTATTACTATCCTAAGTGAATACCATAAAATTATCACAAAATACAAAATAATAATGAAAAAAAATTTTTAACAAAAATATATTGCATTGAATTTTACTGAATAGAGAAAAGTTAAATTTCAGGTGTTCTGTCACTTTTGACCATGTGTGAGTCGCATCAGAGAGTTAAATCTTGAGAATGACTATAACCTGGAGAAATTAAAGTGAATTGATGTATAATGATTTAAAGTTCTCTTTTTTTGTTTGACTCCATATTCAGTTGTCAGTTTTTGCTTTGGAAGTTTTAGTTCATTTGTAAAAGTAACTAAATATAATTAACTTTAGGTATTTATATTGTTCAGTAGAATAGCTGATTAATCATCTGAATGTTATATTTTTATTCCTGTTCTAGACTCTCAGACTGCAGCGTCACTGAAGAAGGTAATAAAGCTCTGGCTTCAGCTCTGAGATCAAACCCTTCACACCTGATAGAGCTGGATCTCTCTGGAAATGATCCTGGACCATCAGGAGTGAAGCAGCTCGATGATTTACTACAGGATCCAAACTGTCAGCTGAAGACACTGAGGTGAGACATGCTCAAACATCACTATATTAATAAATGATGTGCAGGCTAAATATTTCAGCAATAATCTGGACCGTTTGTTGGATCAGAATGATCCGATCAGATGCTGCTGGTTGACTGACAACAGTTTAGTTGTGCTGCAGTTCTGGAGTATGACATACCTTCATAATTAAGCTTGTTTTTAGAATATATATATATATATTTTAAATCTAATCCTGCTTCATCTGGTCTTCTGCAGGTTTTTGGGTCCTGCTGCAGAAGAAGCCTGTCAGTATGTGAGAGGAATTGTGGGTAAAAACCCGTTACTCCTGAGAGAGCTGGATCTGAGTAGACGTAAACTAGGAGACACACGAGTGAATCAGATCGCTGCTCTACTGCAGGATAAACACTGTACACTCAACACACTGAAGTGAGTATTAATAGTTTATTTACAATAGGGCTTTTCACATTGTGCTTAACCCTGGGTTATCGTCGTTCTAAACACCACTTTTAACCCCGGGTAAAGACACGTTTCACACCTGTAATGTGAAAGCGGTGTTAGCACGTGTTTTTACCCGGGGTTATGAAAGCCTGCTCCGCAGCAGGTTAGCACTGCATTCGTGATGTTAAGTCAAGTCAAGTCAAGTCCCCTTTATTTATATAGCGCTTTTAACAATACAGATTGTGTCAAAGCAACTGAACAGCATTAATTAGGAAAATAGTGTGTCAATAATGCAAAATGACAATAGTAAACACTCATTTTTCAGTTAAAGACAGTTCATCATTGAATTTAGTGATGTCATCATCCAGCTCAGTTCAGTTGTTAACCTCGCAGTGCGGTGCTAAGTTTGTTCAGTTTGAAGCGGAGCGGTGTTTGCTAGCTGCTGCTGGACGCTTGGCAACAGACAGCCAATCAGAACTTGAGCAGCGAGGCTCATGTCACGTCAGGAACAGGACACGTGTGTCGTGTAAACAGCAGCCGCTGAGAGAAAAGTAAGAAATGTCAAAAAACGGAAAGCGTGTGAACTGGAATGAGGAGGAGGTTTGTCTTTGTTCTCTTGCCTTTGTGCGTCTCATGAGGCTTAAAACGGCTAAAGACCTACGCGGCGACATTTTTTTAATAACTGGCAAGACACGGGAAAAGCCATGTACTGGTTGCCTGCTGTTCGTCCAATCAGTCACAGTGACACCGCAGATATGCAAATCAGAAGGTTAACCCGGGGTCAGGAATGTACCATGTGAAGGGTCTGTGAATGAATAGCCAGGATTAACAGTTAACCCCAGGTATAGTATGAGCAGTGTGAAACATGATTACACATAACCCAGGATAGCGTTTATCTGGGGTTTACGATGACCCAGGGTTAACCTTTTCAAGAGTGAAAAGCCCTAGAGTTTCATTACTTGTGATAGTAATGTTACTGTAGCTGATAATAATATTTCCTTGCTTGTGTGAGTCAGAGCAGTTTTTACTCAACATCACAAAGAGCCACTATAATGTGAAATATTAAATTAAACAGCCAATGACAAAGAGACATCAAGCTTTAAGCAGTTCACTAAATCAGTTTGATCTTGAGTCAATAATTATTTACAGTTACTGTAGAGAGAGAGAAATTATTTTCTTCCAGAGTTTAGAAAACTCATTCAAACGAGTGATAGATTGTAAAAACAGCAGCGCTATAAACACAGATGTCTTTCCTAACATTAACAGCTCAGTTCTGTGTAAATTAAAGATAAATGTGCATATATTGATCTGTTTAAATATATGTCTGCTTAATGTGATCATGTTTGCTGATTGCTGACAAACATAACTATTCATAACTGCTTTCAGTTTAATGTTTGTCTTTCACAAAATATTAAATGTCTAATTTTGGTGCAGCATATACTGTAACTTGTAGAAATTGGGGGAAAAAAAGACTTTACCTGATTAAAAAAGTATGAATTATCAATCAGAGGACAGAAGCCATGACGTAGACTGTGTAAAACAAGTTTTTCATCCAAGTTTTGGTCATATTGATCATTTATAGGCCCTAGAAATTTGTGTATTAATTATGATACAGTAGGCTATTTTCATAAGTAGTCATTATACTAATTGTTGAACATAATGTTCTGATTTCTCTCTATGGTCCTGCCCTGTTTTGGGTTAATCTGGATTACCTGATGTTAACAAAAACACATGTGAATTAAAAAATGTATTAGTAAATGTTGAAACTGACTTTAAGGTTATTAAATGCTGTACTAGTCTTGTGCATCATTGGTTCATGTTAACTAATGTAGTTAATGATAACAAATGAAATCTTATTGTAAAGAGTCAGCTGTGTGTCTGAGAACCACAGACATAAACACATTTACCCCAGTGAGCAAAAAGTGATTGTGAAATTAATGCGTAAACTAACTTGGACAAATAGATCACATCTTAATGAGTTTGCTGATATTCAACCTTTGTAACTTTTGTGTAGTTGGTAATAAGTTTAATTGCCATATATCTGAAGTACGTTCTTTCTCTCTCTGTCTTCAGTCTGTGTGGATGCAGTATTACAGAGGAACAGAGTCTCGTCCTGACTTCAGCTCTGAACTCAAACCCATCACACCTGAGAGAACTGGAGCTGAGCAGGAATAAACTAGGAGACTCTGGAGTGAAGAGCCTCAGTGATCTACTGATGAACACACAATGCAAGCTGGAGAAACTAGAGTTAGTATCATTATACTCTACAGCAGCTACAGTCTGATTCATTTACTCATGATGTGTTTAACTCACATATGAACTTAGATCTGATTGATTGTGTTTTCTCTCTCTGTCTTCAGTCTGTGTGGATGCAGTATTACAGAGGAACAGAGTCTCGTCCTGACTTCAGCTCTGAACTCAAACCCATCACACCTGAGAGAACTGGAGCTGAGAGGGAATAAACTAGGAGACTCTGGAGTGAAAAACCTCAGTCATCTACTGATGAACACACAATGCAAGCTGGAGAAACTGAAGTACAATTAAAGTTTATTTATTTTAAGACAACAGGCCTTAAGTTATATTGTTTATAGCAGTGCACTGGTTTTGCCCTATTGGTCACATTTTGTATGTATTTTTTAATCTAGTTAGTAATTGTTTAATTTCCAGCATTTGATACAATGTACTGATTATGTGCATGCAGAAATCTGCCTTTTCAACAGAGAATAAAGAAGATAAAACATTAAATAAATAGTTACAAAGTGAAAAACTAAACAGTAGCTTCCAACAAACATAACTAGCGTGATTTGAAACAGACTTCTGGAAACTAAATGCTTGCTGTAGCACTTCAATAAGATGATCATCATAGATCTGATTGATTGTGTTTTCTCTCTCTGTCTTCAGTCTGTGTGAATGCAGTATTACAGAGGAACAGAGTCTCGTCCTGACTTCAGCTCTGAACTCAAACCCATCACACCTAAGAGAGCTGAATCTGAGAGGGAATAAACCACTAGGAGACTCTGGAGTGAAGAGCCTCAGTGATCTACTGATGAA